AATCTTCCTTCTTCCAACCGGCAGCATGGGCAACACACCTCTGAGCCGCAGTCCAACCTCCATCGAAACGATCTTGGAGCTTGGAGGAGAACTCGTTCGAAGTTAAATAACGGCCCACGGCTCTCTAGCGAATACCAGGCTTATCAGCTTCCATTTGTTTAACCTTCTCCTCAAGGTTTTTTATTTTAGCTCTGGCGTCGCCGAGATCCTTTTCAACTGAAGGAAGGCGCTCAATGGCCTTATCTTTCTCAGCAATTTGAGTCTTCAGACTCTGCACTTCCAATTATAGACCAGCAACCTTCTCAGCCTTAACCTTCAGTTCCGACATCTCCTTGTCGTCTCTTTTTTTTTTATTTTTTTCAAATCATCTAAGGCTCTTTCAGCATTATTGATGATTTCCTGCATGGCACTTTGGCTGGAGGAGGCTTGATGATGCTTCTCCTGATAATAACGGTACATCTCAACGAGCTATGTACCAGACATGACGGCCTAAAAAAATAAATAAATATATGCACAGTTAAGAATAAGATAAACAGAATAAGTCTATAGCAAAGTTGTATACCAAACATAAAAATATATAAAGGAAAAGTTAGAGTACCTTCATCATGTTGTGCATGTGAGTAGCAGCAAGGGGATCGATTGGACCAGCAGGTCTATCCATCGGCAGAGTAAGATTGCTCAAAAGCCGATAACCGAGATTCCCACCTTGCATTGGGTCATCGGTAATCATAGATTCATTCCGGCCTACATCCATGTTAGGTTGCCAACAGTCTCCGGAATGACCAGCAGGGACAGCGAAACCCTTCAGAACTTCGTCTGGAAACCTTCCAGAGACTTGTTCAATCCATTGATTGGACCGATAAGTCAGGGCCGGAATGCTTGAATCAGAGCCAACCGTAGTAAGGGCAATTGTGACGGTTGGCTGAAGCTGACGAGGGGACTCGACAGTAGTGAGACCTTCGATCTCAATCCCCTGAATAACCTTCTTTACAATGGCCTCAGGGCTCCTAGTTTTGGTGGTGGGCGGAGTCTTCTCGGACTCTGACTGGTCCTTCTTCTTCCCACCACGCCCTTCAGATTGTCTGGGGCTGGATATCACAACGGCTCCACCTCGCCGATTGGCCAGGAATGTCGTCTTTCTCTTTTTTGCATTGTCATCAGCCATGATCTCAGCTCTTCTTTTGGAACTGATAGCTGGAGCGCAGCCGCAAACGGTAGCAAGGGTATCGAAGGGGCTTGAAGCTTTAGGGAAACGTCTGAGAACCCTTTTCCCGTCAGAAGATAAGCCGAGTTGCCTGTTGTCCAACTTATCAATACCTGAGAGCAAAAAATGAAAATTCAATCAGCCAGGTGCAAACAATTTTGTAAAAAAAACAACAAAAGAAAGAGGTCGATAAAATAAACGGTACCATAATGGTCAGTCCAACAGAGATCGACACGAGATAACGGCGCGTTGCCCAGAATGTAACTCACATTCGGCACCCACACCTTAGGAACTATGCGGACCTTGCCGTCACCTTCATCAAATTCTGAGACGTCAAAATGATTGACGGCTCTCTCCTCATGTTTACCGAGATCTCTCTCGAGAATTGAGTCAAAACGAGGATGAGGCTGGAAAAAGGTTCTTCTCAAAGGAAAGTCCTCAGGAACCGACATGAAAAAGAACCTGACTTGCCAACCCTTGCAACTTGTTAGCTTAGGGTGGACGGTATATTTGTGAGGTTGGGTATACAAAGACCACCACCCATCTGACTGACCATCTCTCTTCAGAGTAATCAGTCGTCTAAAAACGTTAAGGGTTAGGGGATAGTTTCGATACAGCATAACCCAGATGGTGGCAATAACGGCCCGAATAGTGGGAGGAGTCACCTGAACTAAACAGACGTTCCAGGCCTTCAGGATTTTTTCCACAAAGGGATGTAAATGAAAGCGAATGCCGAAGTCTAAATGCTTCATATAAACGGCCACGGAACCTGCCGGGCCATCTAATACCGAGGCTCCAGAAGGAGGAATTGACAGCTCATACCCGTCAGGTAAGTTGAAAAATTTCTTAGCACGACGGCAGTAATCTTTTTCAGTTGCCGTTTTCCTAAAATCGTCATTTATTTTTGCCTTAGCCACTTTTCCATCTCTGGCAAGAGTAATAGGTTGTCGGAATTCAGCTCCGTCAGTTTCAGAGTTATAGCCCTCGTCCAGGTTCTCTTCCTGGATAACCTCTGCCGTCATGTCAACAATGTATTCCCTGCTCTCATTGTTGATACTACCTTCTTGAGTCTCGTCATCTCCTAAGACCGAATTGACGGCTGAATCATGAACGGGAGATGACGGACCTTCCTGGGGGTTTACAGGGATATCAGCTACTTGTTCTTCTTCAGAAGAACTCACAACTTGACCTTGCCCAGTTCTTTTGCTGGATTCAGCTGCCTTAGCGGCCTCGGCTGCCTTAGCTGCATTGGCGGCCTAAGCAGCCTCACGGGCAGCAGCTCGAGGCTGATAGCTGGTACTCTTTACCCTTGGCATGGTGTTTATACCTATATTGCCAACGTTAGTGCCGTATTGATTAAAATAGTGTTTCTTAGCAAAGCTGCGTAAGTGATAACGAACACTAACAGGCTCAACGTCAAGAATTTCAGTATCGGCAGGAATATCAGGATTAGTGGGATAATAGGCACGTTCGCAGTGGGAAATAGTCCTATGTAGCATAAAAGCACGTTTTTCTTCTTCAGAAGATAACGTCTCAAATGGATAATCAATATTATCAGAAAGGGAAGATGAATTACCCTGATTACTACCGGTTTCTTTGCCTAGGGATTGCCTAATTAAACGACGCCCAGCAGTACTAAGGTTAGGAAAATTCTCTTCGACACTATCTTCAGACATTTAATTTAAAAAATGAGAAAATAAAACAAACATGCAAAATCAGGGGTTAGGGAGCGGCAATACCTTCGACGAAAGTCGCTGATACGATGTACTTAAAAAGCGAGAAGTGACGAAGAAGAAAAGAACGCCGAATATACTGAGAAGCGCAGACCGAAATCGAGAAAAGTAAGAAGAGTAAACCTTTGATTGAAGAACAATTGACACTGAGAGAAAACTTTGGGAAAATCAGAAATAAAATGAAAAATGGTGGAATTTTGATCTAAAAGAAGAAACTGAAAAGTCAGTTGAAGTGAATGGCGGTTAAGAGATCCAACGGCCCTGAATCCACAATCAATTTCAAAAAGCAGCGGTAGGATTTGCGACACGTGTACTAATTTTCCCGCTTTAAAAAAAAAAACGGAGTTTTTCGCTCCCATATATTTTGCAATAAGTGGACCTTGTCTGCTATCGGCACACAAGGTCACTTGGGGGGAAAAACGGAGTTTTTCGCTCCCATATATTTTGCAATAAGTGGACCTTGTCTGCTATCGGCACACAAGGTCACTTGGGGGGGAAAACGGAGTTTTTCGCTCCCATATATTTTGTAATAAGTGAACCTTGTCTGCAATCGGCGCACAAGGTCACTTGGGGGGGAAAAAACGAGTCAATAGAGTAATGTGTACACCAAAGATAATGCAAATGAATACACTATGGGATTATAACACTATACAAAAGTTGTCTTGAAAATTACAAAAAAATAAAAATAATAGTAATAAATAAAAATAAATCTTCTCAGTAAGTCTCTGAGGTGTCCTCAAACTTCATCCACTGTGACATCTGAGTGGCAGCCAAATTGACATAGTCTCTGAACTTCATCCGATGCAGTGTTTGAGCATAAGCCAAACGGGTATAACGAACTGCAGCAACGGCAGGGATAGCAATAAATTTTTGTTGATGCACAGTGCTTGACAGAGTACAAGAAAGGTTATCACATGAAACTTCCAAGATGAGGTAAAATTCGAAGAGTGAGAAGTGGAACCCAAAGTTTGTTTAGTTAGGTTAAGTTTGTCGGCTACATTAACTGAGAACGATGATGTGTGATCATGCGTCCTCACTTGGGGGGCTAATTTTATGGGATGATATCTAGGAAGGACCGATATCTTGTAAAAGCACGTGACCAAACTTTGAATAATTGTGAAAAGGCGCCGATATGCACCAGAAAGCAGACATATCGGCTTGTCGGAACTCGGCACGTGGCAACAGAAGCTCGACACTTAGCGCAGGAGGCTTTGCATGGATGAGAGCCACCTGTCAAGGTGGATCATTATAAATAGTAGGTAAGACCTCATTTATGAAGGCATTAATTACTCTCTCTCTCTACTTTCTCTCTCATATTTATCTTCTTCTCTAAAACACTTTCTGACTTTGTCATCGGAGTGGTTATCCCCGGACCACCCCGGGGTTAGCTAACTTCTTCTCATTGTGTAGGTTCTCGGCTTGCCGATAGGAGTATCAGGATCTCAGGTCCGAGTTCTTGGGAAATCAGATCCAGACAGAAACAATTACTTTGAGGTGTTTGCATCCACCCAAACAATGTCCGGATCATTTTCTAAGGTTTGCGCAAGTTGTTTGTGTTACTAGATTTCTCTTCCCTACGATTATCCTAATTGACGACTTGTGGAATAACCACACACGTAGATTTGGGATGGGATGTTGTGCTTTTGTTTCAGTCAATTGTACTTATGGAACTTGGGATGTGCATACCATGGCTTAGCTATCACAACTTTACATACAGAGATGAATACTTGTATTAAAAGACTGCAATGGGCAGCTCAACGATTAGTGTAGGCGATTAAAATTTTTATAGTCACTAGCGATGAAATGCCTAGGAAAGACAAGTTATAGATTTCCATTTACAATGGACATTGGATCACATTTGTGGTCCTGTAAAAGCTATAGTATCCATAAAGTTCAGATGATCAAGGTGGATAATGCACATATCCTAGCTACTATGCAAATTACAGCTTAATGTCTTGTGGGAATAATTTCTTTTAGATATCGTTTAAGCACATGTCAAAAAAAAAAAAAAAAAAAAAGGCGAGGGTATTGTGCTGCGGGAAAAATTTATTGCGCCTCGCACGTTTGAAAATGATGACTTAAATCATTAATCTTGAATTCTAAGATCAATAAATGAACAAAAATTTAAAATAAGTCTTTACAACAATTACCCTCCTAACTTGTTTGACCTATTCCAAAATCACTAACAAGTTATCCATTTGTTCCTGCTAAAATGAATTGCTCTTTCAAAAAGATGATGAATATTTAACGGTTTGTCTGGTTCTCTTTCCAACTTGACTCGTGCAATAAAACCAGTAAGTGCACTTCCGCCTCTACAGATTTATCATCCGTGACATCCTTTAAACAAATCATAATAGACGCATCACAAGAACACTGTTCCTGACACATGTTAGCTCTCTCTATACAATCTTGTCATTCTCTCTATCAAGAACATAATTCATGTTTTCTGCCACCTGCTAATAACATTGCTTGCAAAGAACTTCAGGCTGCCCCATAATGATGACTGCTGCGATTCATCGACTTCATCATGCTTCTTTGTGGTAGTTACCCTAGAAAAACAAAAAATTTAGCCATTATTATGTCAAATCTCAACGAACATAACTCATTGTATAATAAGCCATCCAGAAAGATACAACACAGTAGAAAAACAATATTACAGAGAAAATACCAAAAATCGAGCAGTGACTAATTATAAGGCTCCCAATGAGATACTAATATTTGGAGACAATATATTAGCTTTTTTTGGCAGGATAGTAGACTATCACATCCCAAAGGACGAGTTCTATTACGTTGTTATCTCAAACTAAATTAGTCCCAATCAAATTCATAAATTTGCAGCATACGTCAGTCTTTTTAGCAGGTCTTGGTCAAGCAGCTGATGTTGTGTTAGTGTCACACATGCTTGATGTCGCGTTAATGTCACACATGCTTGATGACTATTGACCCTATAAATGTATATAGTACCCCCAATAACATTAGGGGAAAATCCAAGTTTATCTCCTAGATAAACTTCCCATGTTTATGAAGTGCATTATTGTAAATAAAAGGCATTGGAATGTATGAAATTAGAGTAAAAAACTATTTTCTCTGCCAACTGTCCAACTGGCATCTAAAGGAACTTGACAGAGCAAACAAACGTTCATTAGTACCATCAGGACTTAAACCCAGTTACAAAATTTAATTTAATTCAAAACCAATTACAAAATTTAATCTTATATTCAACCCCATTGAGCAATGAGCATATACACAGTTCGACAATTCCCATATTCAAGGCTACATCCACCACAATGTCAAAGTTACAAAATTTAAATTCGTTATTCAAAACCAATTACAAAATCTAATCTTATAGTCGACCCAATTGCAAAATCTAATCTTATATTCAACCCAATTGAGCAAATACAGTAATACAAAGTTGGACAATGCCTAATTCAAGGCTATATCCACAGCAATGTCAAAAACTCATTGTAATCAGTAAATATGAGTTGAAACACTTACCTTTGAAGAGTCCAACTTCATCTCATCCACCCACAATGTTCAAATTCAAGGGTATGCTAGCACCAAACAAGCAACGACGAACACAAAAAAGCAAAACCCAAGAGATTGGAAGTTCGGAGGTGATTAATTCAATGGGGTTGAAAAGAAAAACCCGAATGGGGTTGAAAAGCAAAACCTGATTCAATTAATTCAATGGGGTCGAAAAGCAAAACCCGATTTCAACACCAAACAAACGATGAATGATACAATTTAACCCAGGAGATTGAAGTCCAAAAGAGATTAATCAATGGTGTAACAATGGAAATACATTAGGCAGCTTTTACTGATTTCTCGGAGGCTGGTAACATTAATCAACTATTGTTAACACTTCCAACCTAACGACATCTATTGCGGGGTCTAATCCCAATATTCTTTGTTACCGTTAAATTACCATGATACCCTTCACTAACAACTGGAAATGACATTAATAGCCGTAGATAAACATCCCAAGTTTATCTAGGAGATGAACCTGGGCTTGCTCAAACATTAGTCCAAAACCATAATATCAATTTTAATACCATAACTATTGACCCAAAAACAATAATCCAAGATCATAACTATTATTAGTCTGAAAATGGTAATTAACAACCAAAAAAAAAAAAACAAAAAAAAAAACCCAAACTTATTAACCAAATAGATAAACCAAAAGAAGAAAATGAAATGCATGTACAAATATCATACTTATAATCCAAAACTATACTTATAATTATTAATTCAAAATCATAATTAAAAACCCAAAACTAGATTCATTAATCTAAAACATACTTCCCAAATTTTAACTTACACTATTACAAACTTTGCTTTGACTAGCATTTATGATTTATAGATTAAAAAAAAAAAAAAAACAAAAAGAAACTAAATCATGTGAGATCTTGTTAAATTTATTTTAATATGACTTAATTAAAAGGAAAAATATAAATAAATAATCTCACCTTTGGTGGGTCTTCCCAAAGCAATCCCACTTCTCAAACAAAATACTTGTAGAAACTAGAAAGTATGGGTAAGATCTAAAATGTATTTGAGTCGGACCCTTGAAAACAACAATTTTTCCAAAATAATCCCACCCCTTGACATGGATCTTTTTTTAAAGTTCCATTTCACCTGCTACCTGCTCAACAAGTTAAATGATTTTTTTTATTTTTAGATTAACTCTCCTCCCACCTCCTCATCTCCCTTCCATGGCAACCACCATAACCACCACCCACAAAAACCCTTGCCACCTGAAGAAGCACCAGATCTAACCTGTTGCTGCTGCCACCCTCCACTCCACCTAGAGGTGCAACCCCAGCCCATCCTACTGCCACTGCGGAACCCCCCAGGCCCAGCCCTAGCCCTAGCCCTAGCCCCAGCTCATCACCAAGCGGAAAACCCCATCTCACCCCGAAAACCCCCACAAAACACCCCAAAAAATCCCTAGCCACCCTGAACCCCCCCCCCCAACCAAGCACACCGAAAATATAAATACTACGAAAAATTTAAAACAAAATAAGGAATTGCTAGAGAATAATACCTTTAAATATTGATTAAAATTTGGAATTGACCTTGAGGGGCTCCCTTTCTTAACGAGGAAGCTGGGGTAGGATGGGGAGGGAAAAAGGTGGTCATTTAGACCGGGGTGGCGAGGGGTGTGAGCATTGGTGCGAAGATGTTGCTGTTGTTGGTTGGGTGCGTGAGTTGATGTAGGTGTGTTGAGTGGGTGCCTGGGGCGTGAAGGGGGAAGCTAAGTTGCACAGAAACGGATACGGGGACAAAAAAGGGTACGGATACGGGGACGGGATAAGGCAAAATCAAAATTTCAAAAAACGGGTACGGCATAGATACGGAAAAAAATAAATCAGCAGAATATAAATCTATAAAAATATTTTTAAAATATTAAAGAAAAATAGAAAAAAGAAAAAAAAAAACAAAGTACAAACGTATGTAGGGCTCTAGGCTACTTCGCTACATTCCGCTAAAATCAATTGGAAGGAAAAAAAATCAAATAATCACATAGCCATTAAAAAAAAATAAAAAAACCAAAACTAAAATAAAAAAACTGAGTACTGCTAAGGTCGAAGAGAGAGAATAAAAAATTAGAACTGTAGAAATTGAATTAGAATTTAAAGAAGATAGAAGTTTCGCCAGTCTTCGATGTCGGGGTGGGTTGCCGGAGGTTTCCGGCAAGGAATCGTGGCCTTATGAGGTCGCAGCAGGTGGTCGCCGACAAGGAATCAAGGAATCTCGGCCTCTTAATTTCTAGGGTTGTTGAGAAATCAACCTCAAGTAAATTTGGGGTTTTTTTTTAACGAAATTGGTTGGGCTTGTAGTGAGGACGTCGGAATAGAATAGGATCCGTCCCTGAGACGTTTCCGGAGCTCCTCCCAGCCGTCCCCAAAATTACTTCCCGTACCACATTTCGAGGGTATCACATTTCGAGGGTACTCCTTGGGGACGTATTTGGGCCGTACATGTACCCGATACGTCCCCGGTACGGGAAACGACTACACTTTGGCGTACCCGTGCATCCTTAGGGGGAAGAAAGTGCGTTGTTGCCAGAAAAGGGGGTGGTTGTTTGGCCATTGACAGCGCAGGGGTGGGGGTAGGGTTGACTGATTGATCGTTAGTTTCTTCTTTTTCTTAAAAAAAAGTTTTTTAATTTTTAAAAATGAAATAGACCGATGAAATAGCAACATGCGGCAAATAACTTACAAAAATCGGTCACCAGCAAGTAATGGGATTATTAGATGAAGATTGTGGGCAAAGGTGGGATTGTTTTGAAAAAGTCAATACGTGGATTGTTTTGGGAAGACCACTGAAATGTGGGGTTATTTATTTCCATTTTTCCTAATTAAAGAAACATTTCATCTAATTTGAAATGGGGTAAGTATAACCATTTACCCAAAGCCCATAATTATAAATAAAAAAGAGTAATTTTTAACCCGAAAACCATAACTATTAATCCAAAACCCTTGTACCATCTATAACTAGAAAATCATAATAATTAACTGTCACTATAAAATCAAAAACTATGATTATATACCTACAAACAACAAGTATCAATAAGAAAATCATAACTATTTAAAATATCATAACTATTAACTATTAAGCTAAAAGTTATAAATACCAATAAAAATACCACAACAAAGCCAAAATTGTATACCATTAAAAAATAAATAAAATAAATAAATAACAAAAATGTAACAAGTAAATTTAAAAATCAAATTTTTCCCACAAAATTTTAGTCCCAAAATGATTTGATGTCAACTAACATGTATTATCATAAGGAAATTGTCTGAAAAGGAACATGGCATAACAAGATAAATCGATTTGAAAAAAAAGTGTAAAGTGAGAAACAAAAGAGCAAACAAATAAATTTAAGAGTTTTAAAAGAGTGGTAAGGTGATAAAAAGGAGAGGAGAAACGTGTGAGTAAAAAATATAACATAACTAAATTCCATTCCTTACTACTAGTTAGATGTGATGCAGGTGCAGCACTATTCTTGACTTCTAGTTGTCTCCCACTGCAAATTTGACAAATCTCTAAAGGGCCCACTACCAATCTTTACTCGTCCTCCTCAACCATAGACCACCAAATCTTTTCTTTTGCCTTACATGCATCATCACTTTATCCACTACGATGCCTTTCCTTTTTCTTACCCTCCGATCCTCCCTCAACTTCAACTCTTCTACTAAGCAACTCAAAAAGTAAAATATGAGAGAAAGTACGCACATATTCAATTTCTTATTTGCTCGTCAATATTGCAATGTTCTAGCATCACTACTCTACTTTTAGCTAAATTTAACCCACCTCACGTTGGCAACAACCCAGCTGAAAATCAAACAAATGGATGTCTTTGAAACAAAATCCAGCTAAAAATCCAACATAAATTGATGATTTTGGTGTTTTAGTTCAAAAGTATTCGCTCAACTCCATGAATAAGCAGCTCCAATGCTAGTACGTAAAACAGTCGCTACATAACACTATTATACATGTCAATCTAGATCCATCCTTTGGGACCACACCTTCTTCAGATTTTACACATACTATTCCTTTTCATTCTTCCCCCTCCTCAACATCACTCAGCACAACACCATAATTCTCCCTCTCTTTCCTAGCAAATCAACCTTCCTACCCATACATGGAGAGAGAAAAGGGGGTGAAGGTGGAGGAGAGGGAAATAGAGGACTGAGCTTGGCACTGGCGTCACATGTTTGTTGTCTAGGTATACTTCCTCCGCTTCTTATTAGTTGACATGTTTGATTTTGGCACACAAATTAAGGAGAGATGAGAAGGAAAGAAAAAAAACAAAACTACCCCTGCAAAGTTATAACCCACCCACCACCAACTATTCTAACATGCCAGAGCCTACCCATATCTTCCATCCAGATCTGGAAAACTAGAACACTTACCGACGAATCACAAAGCCCACCACCAGCACCATCACTCATCCCCACCACCAGCACCCTCACCACCAATCCACCGTCACCATTAATTTGCAGCAAACTTAACCCATCATCTTCAGTTTTGTTTTTTTGTTTTTTCCGAAACAATAAACAACCCTCATAATGGTTAGATTTAAAAACAATAACTAAATAAATAAAATTAAAATTTAAAAAAAAAATCTTAATTTTATCTCTTTAATGGAGGTTTCTCCAGCGATGTCGGCATCAACTTTCATCTCTTAGATTCAGTGAATTGGTGTCTAATTCCATCATATCCTCACTAAATGCACCGACTTATACAAGTAGTGGGTAAGAGGAGAGAAGTGAGGTGACGATGGAAGAGAAAGAACTCGGCGACAGGAATGGCAAGTGAACTCTGGCGGCAAAGACTTGTGGCGGTGGCTGAAAAATTGGAACACATACAGCTCGTGCGGTGACGGTGTCGTTTACCCATGGAGGTGGCGGTGAGGGAGAGAGACTAAAATGTGTCCGCCCATGGTGTGGCTGTGAGGGAGGAGAGACTCTAAAATGGATCACCCTTCGCAGTGGATTTGACTCATGTGAAGAGAGAAACTACTGAGATAGTGGGTTATGGAGAAGAGAGGAGAGAGATAGAGTGGGTCTGTCATGGAAAGAGGGAAAAGAAAGTAAGGCAAAATTGACATTTAATTATAAAAAGTAACCAAAAATAGAAACGTGTCAACTACAAAGAAATTTCCCAAAAAGGAATAAGACACAACTAACGAAAAACAGAGGTAGTTTTTTTTTTGGCAGCTTATAAGAATTTCAGATTTCCAATATAAAGAAAAGTTGCAGCATAAGTTTCCTATGCAAACAAAAAGCAGAAAGGGCTCAATTAACAATATATAGTTATGGCCTAAAGGAGTAATGATATGTCAATAAATCTAATAAGTTTCTTGAGAAAAACTCAGTTAAAATGTGGTGGAATTCAACCAGCAAGCTCGACTCAAGTCTTTACTAGCTTTATTGAGCAGGGCTATGATCCAAAAGGTCAAACTTTAAGTATGAAAATCAGAAAGTAGATTGGACCGTTTGAAATTGTTACGACTCTATCTTGGCTTCTCCTTCCTCTGTTAAAAGAAAATATAACCACCACTGCACAATATTTCTTAATTGATCCTCATCTCGACTTTACCGCACGCTACCATAATGACAGCCAACTGATAACACAAGAAACAGCCAACTCTCTTATCCCCTCACTCCCTCTCCTTCGATCTATACCACTTTTTAGATGAAATCACTTAGCTCCCATCATCACAGCCACTGAGTTGCTAACCAATTCCCTTGACCCAACTCAATCATGAAAGGGGCAGAGGGTGTAAAAAGAGCTCATTAAATGGTATTAATTAATTTCCTATTTAATGCTTAAGAATCTTGTGGTATTTTTTTTTTTTTTAATATACAAAAAGGTCCAACAAGCTAAATGGGTTTTACATTAACATTCTTCAAAAAAACAAAAATATAAAGAAAATAAATTTTAATGTTTTAAAAATAACCTGTTGCTCAAACTTACCTTAATATTTTGAGGAGAGCATGGTCTAAATGGTATTTCAGTGCCAAATCAAATCCTAATTGGGTGATTTGGGCAAATTGTTATTAAAGAGAAGAAAAGTATTTCCAAAAGATTAGAACATGCCCTAGCTCCTGAATCACTTCTGGACATTCCTCGACGAAATTGCAAACTTGCTTCTTACTCCCTCAGTATTAACCAATCTTACAATCTTAAAAAGAAAATCAAACAAATACCTTTGGGAGCAAGAAAACTTTTAGGCTTATAAACACAGGCCATCAACAAAGTTCTCTTTTACACTAGCAGTCTAGCAAACCTATCATATTGGGCAAGAACCGTAATGACTTAAAGTGTGATATTTAGTGCTAATCACCCACTCCCTCCAAAAAAAAATGATAGATGGGGGGAGGGAAGGACTGCATTCTTCATTGTGTACAGAATGCCATAATGAGAAAAAACAAAAAATGAAAGGGTTAAAATTAAAGAAATGGATGGAAAGAGGCAGTATTTTCAGTTCCTTAGTCTGATGAGAAGGAAATGAGAAAATAAAAAATAATACAAGTATATGTTTAAATGATAATTATTTCGTTGTAGGAAAAAAATTTAAATTGCGTCTTTGAATTAATGTACAAGACAGATAGATAAACTATCCCCTTCAATACACCTGAACAAATTTAGAATTACACACATGAAAAACTTAGGCCAATAAAATTGTCAAGTTCTAACCAATGGGCACAGATATTATACATACAGCCCAAATGGCCAAAAACCACTATAAATCAAACTCCATAAACTTCTGGCATTTTCCCAACCCATCACTAAATTACAGCAATTTTCCCACAAACTTTTGAAGCAGAAAGTTTTAAGACATTGCAGACTAATGGGGCGAATTCCACACCAAATATCCAAAACACCTCAGAGTCTCACCATCTACTGATCACGTGGAAAGAATTAACATGCAAAATACTATACATTTATCCCACCACAGTTACAGCATAATAGACAAATATCTCCAAGTAAATATTTTGGCCTTTTTGTATATACTATTGCAGAAGTTTACCTTTGAAATTATGTTAAAATGGCTACAAGAGGCCATATGGATATCAACAATTTAGTAAAAGGACTTACAGATAACTGCACTACCTACACACTTATAAAGGAAATTTTGAAAAAAAAAATAATAACGGAAGAAAAGAAAAAAAAAATAAGCACTGGAACAATTATGACAAGCATATTCAGTACCCTATCAGCAAGCTGTCTTACTAAATAAAATTTGGCAGCACTGAAAGCATCAAAGTAAGACATTGGACGACTGAATCAAGCTGAAGGGGTTCAGCCAGTTCACTATATAATCACAAAAGTAAACAGAATAAGAAATAACCAAACCAATGTATCCTCAAAAAACTGATACCCTCATCCAAAAGCCTCTTAGAGTGTGTTTGGATTGAAGGAAATGGAGGGGAGATAAATGGAGGAATTAAATTACAGAAATTGATCCATCCAACAATGGAGAGATTTAGAAGAAAAACTCATCATTCTTCCTTCCCCTTCCCTTCCCTCTCCTTCACCTCCCTCCCTTTCTTTTTCCTCCCTTAAAATTACCCAAACAAACTGTAAAGTCACCAAACAATAAGTTTAATTTTTATTGCATATAAATTTTAATGGTATAAATGCCCATAAATATTTTAGAAATAGATAGAAACAGCTAATGCGGCAACGATGTAACACATAACAGTCAGTAACAAATGTGAAAGATCATATTTTACTGAGCTTTCTACGGAATGACCTGTACATAATGCAATGACCTATATTCACTTCCAGGACTAACAACAAAAAAAACTATAAATTGCATGAGCTTACCTTGGGAGTTTATCACATTTTGAAGCTGGCGCAGATGCCTCGTCTAGATTACCTATTGTCGCATTTTGTGATGTTTTAGGAACTTCAATACGATGACTTGGCATTAATAAAATTGCAGAATCCTCCTGAAAACAGAGCAAGATAGTATAAGTGAATAACTATCAAAATAGCATGGCAGAGATAAAAGTTATGGATTTTTCTACATGAAAGCCACATTTTAAATTAATTTGCAATCATCAAAACTACTATTTGAAGGGGAAACCCCACCAAAAAAAGGGGGGGACAGAACAAGTCATGAGCTATCAAGATTTACAAGTATAATGTTCCCACCACACCCAACCACAGTAATTACTAAATTAATAGGACATAAATAAATTTCAAACAATGTACATGAACTAAGCAAGGATTAGAGCTATCAATTCGGGTAAACGGGTCAGGTTTGGGTCGGGTTAGTGTGGGTCAAGTCAATTCGGGTTAATGTCATAAGACTTATAACCTATAAGGGTCGGGTTCAAATTGAGTCATTCTTGAGTTGGGCACGTCGGGTCATACATCTTATCGGATTTGGTCGGGTCAATAATAGGTCGGGTTACATTCGGGTCGAGCGAAGAATATGAACTTACGTGATTATTTAACTTATATCGGATTTGGTCGGGTCAAGAATAGGTCGGGTTACATTTTTTCACTTATTTTAGGATAAATAATTTCATATAAGTTCAAATATGAGTTTGGATAGTTAAAATATGACAACATTAACAAATCAAATATAAGGTGTTGACATTAATCTTGTTATGCCAATTAAATACTCCATTCTTTATTATCAGCTTTATGATTCGGATTACAATACTTCTCAATCAACTAGCTTCATTAAGGAAGACATTTAAAGCATTAATGTGCTAAACTAGACTACTAGCTATATTAGATAAGAGTTAAGATATGTGTATTGTGTGGGAAAGTAGATTTAAGGAATCAATGCGTAAGCAATGTTCAAGGTAGATTTGTCAATTTGAGTGTTAAAGTCGAGTAAACTCGGTTAGGGTCAATTTGAGTTAATTGCATTACTATTCGGGTAGGGTTAAATCTGGTTTAGGTTGGGTTGAATCAGAGTCGGATTATTAACCAGTCGAATTGAATCCAGGCTGGTTAACAGGTCGAGTAGATTTCGGGTTTTAACAGGTCAAAACGGGTTTGGGTCAATCTCGATTTTGGGTCGGGTTTGGTTCAAGTTAATAATTGAAGAGTTATGTTTGGGTCAGGACATCTCAAGTCGGGTCATGATCGGGTTCGGGTCATGAATCCTAAGGTTAACTCAGGTCTCGGGTTGGTTCTAAGTGATCTTAGGTCAGGTCATATCGAGCTCGGGTCACCTATTTATCTGGTTCAAACAATCAGGTCATGATCGAGTACGGGTAAAATTTTCGGCATCTCTAGCAAGGATAACAGAACTAGTAGCTCTCCAATAAATCCTACTTCGCATAGAGTTGCAGACTTAGGACATAATATTTCTTCCTTGCCCTAGATATGGGATATAAGTAAAACCAAATAAAAGCATAAGACTAAATTTGAGAAAGGAATGCACATAATACTGTAAATTTAGACCTTGATCAGAATAAGAATTTTGGAACATAGAATGAACTCAACTAAAACATAATAAATATATCCATCCAATTTGTGATTTTGTTTCTTATAAAAACGGCAATAAAAGATAAATCATGGCCAAGCTTCAATACATATCAGAAGTCTAGGAGCGTGTGGAACTCATAAGGCATGAGGATGTAAGAAACTATTAGTAAAACTTACTGTTGCTGTGGCTTTTGCACTACTAGCTGTCATTTCCTCACTTCCACAAATATCTTCAACTGCTACTTCTTTACCCTTGATTAGAATTGGGTTACTTATCATCCTTTGACAATTATAGTTATCCACCTCCTTCTGGTCGCTGGAGTCATCTTCAGCTGAAACATGGTAGTCATCTACACTCACAGTCCTACCAACTCTCACTTGACAATCCAGAGTCTTCTCGACTTCACCAGTTTTATTTTTTTCATTTCTCACCAATTTCTCAACATAAGCACTATCAGGGTTACTAACTTGTTTCTTACTGTCAATCGAAGTTGAGATTTCCCCAACACATGTCACCTTGCACCTGCAGGGGTTAGTATAGATGTATTATCGGCAGGTGAGTCAGCTCCCAAAATGGAAGAGGTTGCATAAGGAAATACTGAAGCAAAGGTATAGTCTTTTAGTTTAGAGAAAGGAAAAATGAATGGTAATATATTTTTAACTAACTGAATTATCATAGCTATCTTTCATAACACCTTATATCAATTTGAAGAGAAAAAAATACTTATCCTTGGTCCTTGTTAAAACGATCTTACTCACTATCAAATTCTGGTTAAAGCCAATGGAAGTTTCAATTCATATTGAGTCTCTTATGGTCAACTATGGTTGAAGTCATACTCAAATTAATATGTTACTATCTTTCTATATTCAAATCAATACTAGCCAAATTAGTTTTTGCAATGGCTACCAATTTCAAATTGGATCAAAATAGGATTATCTTGTTTATGGTACTGCTTAGATTGGATCAGGCACTGAACATGAAAAAAGCAGCAGAAGGGTAAACAGACAGGCATATGTCATCTGATAAACATATGTATAGTTTAAGGACATGAGGCCCAGATTTCCAACTTGTATTTAACTTAACACTTAATGTCTCCACTTTTCCAGCATTCATAAAAATTAAAAAAATTAAGCTTTCCCGCTACCCTATCCTAAGAATTTTGCTTCTTTCTGTTTCTAATGATGTTAGCAGTCTTAGCACTTTAAATTTTATCAATATTCATAAAATTCACTTTAACCATCGTTTGTAATTTATACTTCCTCTGTGTTCATTTAAACGCAACACTTCTCATAACACACTTGCCAATGGGTTATTTCAATCATTATTATCTTTTATTACTAATAAGTAAAAAATAAAAATTTGATATAACAAAGTATAAACCGAGACGAATCTAACAAGATCTTACAAAACATTTCTAAATTTTTCCTTAATTATAAATCATCAAGGCTAGTCAAAGTGAAGTATATAGATAGAGGAAAAATGTCAAAGTGTTGCATTTAAAAGAAAACATAGGAAGTATAGAAGGAAATATATAATCATATGAGGTCTTGAGAGATTCTTCTCGGCACGTTTTTTCAAAATGAAAATTTTCTATACTTTTTACATACATAATTAGATATTTTAATGCTAAAAGTTTTACCTTGGCAAACATGAAAAGGTAAAGTGTTACTATCAAATAGAAACGAAAGAAGTATATTATACAGGATCATGACTGCCTTTAGTATAAAATTAGTATTAGGTAACTATAACAATGACATGCATACCTTATGAGTTCATTAGATTCAAAGGCTTGACCAGAAGTCTCATCTACTTCCACAGACTTTGTGTTTTTATACATGCCAGAAACTTCAGAAGAGTGATCTGATTTTGCAGGTGATTCGAAATCATCCTGAATAGAGAAGCTATTAAATATAAACATCCGATGAGGTATGTCATAAGAGACCAAGTTGACACATAAATTTAAAAGAATTAAAAAAAAATTACATATGATCTAGAATTCTCAACCCATCCCCCACCTTCACCACCGAGGTGAGATTCAAGAAACTATAAAATCTTCAGGTCTAATACAAATACCAGACAACAGAACAATTCTTCTACTTCGTACTCAAGTACTCAACTATTGCTAATTCACATCAAACTATTGGCTCAATACACCATTTGTTTTTTATTAATTCTATACATCATATCATTTACTGGTAAAAGTAGAATGTTAAATATTGATCACATCACCACCGCATTATAAAGATTATTTTATCTTACCACGGATGGTAAAAGGAGGCCATCATAGGTGCAAAATACCTGCATTGCCAACAAAAGTGATTCCAAAGACATGATTTTAGGCTATGACAGGTGCAAACCATGTTAATGTTGAGTTTTAAAAAGGATCATAATGACACATTCAGAAACAGACCGGACCAACAGAAAATACAATTCAAAACCTATAAGGTGATGCAGGATCAAGAGAATTTAATAGTCTGAAGTAAAATAGAGATGAGTGGTCCGCAAAACACTAATATGCAATTGTTGGTGGGACACTATAATCTGATGCACTTATTTCGCCTCGATGTCAGCCAAACTCAACGTAGAATGTATTCTACCTACACCCATGATACATCACACTTATTCATCTATTTCTACCATAACAGAGAAGCCATGTTTAAATCAGCTATCACTTTAGCAAATGAAACATATTGAAATAATAATATAAACTATTGATTTCAGAATTGCAAATTAAATGCTTCAAGTAACAATGGACAGCAAAATTCATTATGCCAAAAGAAAATCATGTGATGGTACAGGGCGAGGTTTCTATCTTAAAATAATGCACTGGTGTAATATTTAGCCGCTGAATTACAATCAGGCCACACATTTCAGAAGCATAGGTATAAGAATTCATACCTTACATTTATCCTACTTTCACATTAACTCACTATTTAGTGGGGTCATGGGATCCCGAATACTTAAGTGACTCAAAAGGGCTGAAATTACTTATAAGCTCAAAATTCTACTCGATTAAAATGGACCCATTCACGTCAGCACTCCAAAGCTTACAACCTCAAATAAATATCTGGTATTTTACTGACTAATGACACTCCACATATTGACAATTGTAGATTTAAAATATACACTAGTAATCATACAATCTATATATATATATATATGGGGAGTTTTTTCTCAAGATTTTAGAACTCCAAGTAGGATTTTGATTTTCATAAAAAAATTAGAGCACCACGTAAGATTATGATTTAGAAAAAGTACCATGTAGGATTATAATTGTTAAAAAATTAACTTAAACAAAATTAATCCTAAAAAACATATTTATAAAACTAATCTTTATAATTAATAATTGATATAATAATTTTATTTTTTTATGGTAAGATTATGGCTTATGTTAACCAATATTTGTATTTTATTTTAGATTAAAAAAATTACAATCACCATGTAAGAAAAATTAAGGAATGAGATTTAATAATTTAATTTTAAATATAAAAAACAACGAATAATGTTTTAGGATTTAAACTATTTAAATACAAAAAAAAAAAAAAAAAAAAAAGATATTTTTACATAAAAGATGATTCTACAAATGACATAACATATTTAAAATTAAATTTATTTTTAATAATTTAACGCATAACTAACCCTAGCGAATAAGATCGCATCATAAATTACATTAAAATAAAGGAAAAATATACTTTAATAATCCCAACTTTTGATTATTTATGCAATAATCTCAACTTTCACCAACGTTTTCTTTCTTCAATCCCAAACCGGTCAACAACCATTGATTCTAGGTAACCTAATACGTGTCAACACCTAATTGGTCCAAATGATAAAAAAGTTATAAAAAAATGAAAAATCCAAACCACCTGGTGGCTCTTCACCCCAGCCCTACCCACGAACCACCCCTCTCCCAGCCCCCGCCACCAATTATCGCCACCAAACCACCGCTTACATCGAAAATTGGCCCCCAACACTACGCCACCTCAAAAAAACCACCATTGCCCCTCACGACGCCGCCTAGATACCATTACCCTCCCAGCACAACCCCCTAAATGGACCCCCTCCCTTCCTATGCCGCCGAAATCGGCGTTCCCTCCCTTCCCACACCACTGAAATCGGCCCCTCTCCCTTTAACCCTAACCCTTCACCTACCTTCGAAATCGGACGGGGCTAGGTTGGGGTTGGATTGGTTTACAAGGTACAGTGGGGGATAAGAGCGGTCGGAAATCAGTGATGGCCGACAAAATTCGGATTTCTGGTTCAAAAATAGGTTGGCCTAAGGGAGGGCGTGGCCACTGGCGTTGGCCATGGACAGCTTAATCTTTAAATTTTTTTTTTTCATCTTTCTTTTTTAAAAGTTTCTTTTTTAATTTTGAACCAATAAACGAGTGACATGTGGCAATTATATTAAAATTAACCATTCCTCCGGGTTACTGGTAATTGGAAGCAAAGAATGAAACCGCACGTGAAAGTTAGGATTAAATAATCGAAAGTTGAGATTATTCACAGTAAATTGGGCAAAGTTGGGATTATTAAAGTGTATTTTTCCTTAAAATAAAATTAAAACTTAGACTTTTTGAATAAGCAATAGCAATTCTTATTTTATTTTATTTTAGTCTAAAATTGTTAAATAGTAAAATGAATCAAATAACTACAAAAAAAAATAAAAAAAAAATAAAATAAAATAATAAAATAAAATAAAATAAATAAAAAAAAATAAAAAATAAAAATAATAATAATAATAATAATAAAATAAAATTCTTTTACAGTCTAACAAAGAAATATACGGATTTTTTTTTTTTTGAGATTTATGTATTAAAAATCCGTGCATTGCACGAACTTTCATCTAATTTGATTTATGAATGAACAAAATAATCAACTCATCCCTAACCATTTTAAGATACCTGCAATTATAAAATAAAAAAAAGTAAAAAGTAAAAATGGGGGTAATAGCTAAATGAGTGCTTACAACACGCACTTTAGGGGTGTGTATAATTCAAAGAGGATTTCAGAGCACAACTTGATCATACCGTTGACGTGGCAATTAGAGTCACACTTGCCAAGGTGCTCTCCATTACAGTTGATATAACAGGCACTATGCAGCTTTCCAGAATTCTACTATTTTCACTCTTGTCCATATCTGCAGATGCCCTGCCATGCTCTCCCCAAAGTTTCAAGTCAGCCTTTTTCTCACTACCAGATTCATATTCTGCTGTTATCTCATGGTTCTTGATCAAAGTTGACATATCAATCATCTTCTGGTCACTGATTTTATCACTTTCATAGCTCAAATAACATTCTGCTGAAGTAGTGTCATCCACAACAGTATTCCTCTTGTCCTTGCCAGACAGTTTACAGTCAACAATAGCTTTAACTTCAGAAATCTGATTCTGATGAGCTTTTTGCAGTATAGTTAATTTATCAGCAGCACGGGCCACAGTAGGTAACTTGGATTTGTATTCCAACTCCTGAATAATAACCTTAGTTTTATAGTGAGAGCCGCCAATTTGATTAGTAACATTTTTGGTTGTTGGGAATTTTCCGGAATTCATCACCCTGTATCTGCAACAAAAGTGATCTAAAAATTTAACTCCATGACTAGCATGCCAACTACTCTTAAGTCTTAAGGTATAATTCCACATATAAGAAAAAAACATCATATGGGAAATGCAAGATTAACACAGAATAATCACTATACGGCATAATATGTACCAAAACAGTCAGATAAATTTGAATTCATATTGATCATAAAGTTTATAGATGACAATTATCCTTTAGGATTAGTATACAGTCAACTAGCAGCTAATTTCAAATTTGTTAAATTGTTATGTTAGTACAACTATAGTTTTTACAAGTGAGTAACATGTATGAATAGGAGTTTGTTAGCAAATGTAATTGTTAGCATATTATAGTAGCAATTGTTATAGTACAGTATTCGGTATTTGTAATTTGATGTTATTCCTAGAAGAAGTTGTCAAAATTTGATGTGTATTTATTTGAGTAGCATAGGTCAACCCTCAATGTCAACACCATTTACGAGTTGTCAATATGTGGTAGTTTTGGGTTGTTTTATTGGAATATTGGTTAGACAGCTATTTTGATACGGGGTTAGTTGGGTGGTAAATGACGGCTTGCATGCAAGGAAGTATACCAGGCTTAATCTTAGTTCCATTACAATAAGTCATACCATTTTAATATTTTATCAAGAATCCTATACAGTTTTACTTAGGGGTGAGCAAAATTCGGGGTACCCAAGATTGAAACCGGAACCAGTTAAGAACATGCGGGTCCAGAATTGGAATTGGACCCTTTGGTTCCAATACCGGGTAATAAATTTAGGACCCGATTACAAGTTACAACCGGTTCCAATTTCAATTCTACCCGGTTACTTAATATATGCTAAACTAAATATATTTTTAATAATAAAAATATGTTGAATGTATCTATTAAGTAAAATAAAAATAAAAAAAAGTAATAATATTATCTAACATAAACACAAATAGCTTAACGCATATATAAATTTAAGTATTAAACGCTAAAAATGAAAATAACCAAAATAAGAAATATAATTTGCATTATATTTTAACAATTACATACATAAGTGGGTACCTAGAACCGGAACCGGTACTTGGTGGTTTCAATTCCAAATCCTAAATTTTAGAACCCGGTTGAACCAATTCCAATTTCGGTTCCGAATTTTAGGACCCGATCCTAACCAATTCCGGGTTTGGGTCCTAAAATTTTGATCGGGTACCCGGTTTGCGCACCCCTAGTTTTACTAGTCCCTTAAAGAGTGGATTTTACGCGCAGAACAAGTCATACCATCTTTAATTACCGGAAAGCTAAAATTATAAGAAGTTGCAATTTTAAAAATATATAACGTGACGAATGTAACAAGATTCCACATTACTATATATTTCATTACGTATAAATCACAAAATATAATTAAAGGACAATATGTGAATAAGGTTAAAGTCAAAACATGTCAACAAAAAAAAAAAAAAAAGGAGAAAGTAGTAATTTATTATTGTGAAGAGTCCTAGTCCAATTAGGTGTTTATTTTCTATCTAACCTAGATCTCTTTTCTAGATTATTCTATAATTTATATTGCCTATATAAATGGTCTTAGAATCTTATCTTGTTTGTGTGTGTTAGGTTAAGATTAATAAAGTTCACAGTTTTGTGATAAAAAATATGAGAGTAAATGAGATGCTTAATCGGCCAACTACCCTTTTGTAGATGTGATGAAATCAAAAAAAAAAAAAAGGCAATACTTGGATGGAGACAATATCGAGTGTTACCCGGGAGTGGTGATGATAGTTGGATGTATGATAATAAACCCTCGAGTGGTCATCTTGCCTTATTAATGAATAAGGTTTACAATGATTAACATTCTAAAGAAAGGGAGCAACATTTCAAGTTAATTACTACTAATTTGAAAATTAACCATGCCACATAAACTTGATTCCTATGAAAGACAAGATCGAGGCAACATTTGAAGTTGAAGAATTGACCTTTGTTTGTTCGTCATTGAGGATTCATTGAGTTGCATGAATTACAGTGACACATTGAAGGAAGTTGATGAAGTTTGGGAGTATTTTATGTTAAAGATTCTAGCATGATTTGTGGACGAATCAATTTCAAAGAAGGGGAGTTTGATGTGTATTTAAGTAGCAAGAGTCAACCCTCAAAGTCAAAACCATTTATGAATTGCCTATTTGTGGTTGTTTTAGGTTAGATGTATTAAATGCCAAAAAAAATGAACAATGAAAGAAGAAAAAAGAGGGAAGATGTAGAGATTAATAAAATATCATAATAATAATGGTAAGACGGCTATTTTGATACATGAGTTAGGTAGTAAATGACACTTGGCGTGCAAGAAAGTTACCAAGCTTAATCCTCGTAAGTCGTATCATGTTAAGAGCCGTTTGGTATAATCTTTTCGAATGGGTTAGATACACTTTAATAATTCCAACTATTGGCGATTTACTTCTAATAATCCCAACTAAGATTTATTATTTAATATCCCAACTATGAGGTGGCTGAGAATGGATTTAGGGGATTTTTTTTTTCTTTTAACTTTTTTTAAATTTTGGAGCAATTACATGTTGATACTTTTTTTTTATTTTTTATTTTTAAAAGTTTACCCTTTCAGTAGGATTACTAAAGGCAAAGTGACCCCATAATTGAGATAATTAGATAATAAACCTTAGTTGGGATTTTTAGAAGTAAATCGCCCATAATTGGGAATATTAAAGTGTATTTTTCCTTCATTTTATTGTTTGGTTAGGCTTTTTAGGTATGGAACCTCATACCGAGAAGGTTCTAAGTCTGTCCTATCCCACTTGAATCTCATACCCACCTCACCCCCTAAAATTTACATTCCATTTCAATAATGAAATGTAACACTTACTTTAACATATAAACCAAATAGCTTCAAATTGCTCTCTCCGTTCCCTAATGTTTTTTACGTTTGGAATTATGCGGGGTTATTAAGAAATTGTGTAAAGTTGAGGTATGTTGAAATATTTCAATGATTGAAAGTACAATTTTATTGAAAAATACAATGTTGAGCATGTGGGGTGAAAGAAATTATAGGAGAGAGGAGAACGAAAGTAAGAATAAGTGTTGAAAAACTATTAAAATAGTACATAAAGTACAATAGCACATGGAAAAGTAAGGACTTTTGAGTATAAAAATTGTAAAAAAAACGATAATTTTGTCCAAAATTTATGACCAAAATTGGAAAGATACTAAATGTATAGAATAAAAAGGAACACCCTAAATGGAAACGTAAAACATTTAGCAACGGAGGGAATAGTACGCAATTTAGATCCATTCCTCCCTAGTATGAGATTTATTTTTTTTCAATCCAATTTAGTTTAACGAACCAAACAGCCCTTAATGTTTTATAAGGAGCCCCTCGCAGTTTTACTAGTACCTAAACGATGGAAATTTTACGTGTAGAAAAATAAAAGTCCCTTCATTTCGAAATAAGTGACACACTTACTTCTTTTTGGTCATTCTAGAATAATTAACAAACTACCATAAATGGCGAGGAACCACTATTATCAAATTTTTACCATATTGTTCCAGCCCACTAGCTTTTATCGCCCCACATGTCTCCTTTTTAATAATATAAATTAAATCTAATAACTTTATTTTACATTAAACGACTCAATTTATGGTCCCCACCTATAATTTTCTTAATACATTCTAGAATAAGGAAGCGTGTCAACTATTCTACAACGAAGGAGTAGTATCTCATTATCTTTAAGACTCTTAAGAGTCCTATTTAATAAGTGTTTATTTACTATCTTACTCAGACTTATTTGATAGTTTATTCTATAATTTAGTGCCTATATATACAGCCTTATTTGATAGTTTACTATCTTACTCAGACTTATTTGATAGTTTATTCTATAATTTAGTGCCTATATATACAGCCTTAGGGAATGTTTTTATATTTTTGTGGTTGTATTTGAGATTAGAAAGTTTAAAGTTTTGTGATAAAATTAATGAGTGGATGATACACTTATTCACCTTACCTAGGTTTCCTAATTTGATTTAGTATTTGCCCATTTGTTCAAATCCTGAAGTTAGGTCCATTTGTATCTAATTAGCACCCTAGATTTTGTGAAGTTCATAAGACTGAGCAAAACCATATTAAAAAAGCTTTAGAAAATTGGTATTTAATGAGGGTGTTTGGATTGTAAAAATAAAGAAACAATATGTTTACCTCCAAAAACTACCTCTACCAACAACTTGTTGTAGTTGGCTTTTTCCAAAACATGATGTGAAATAGTAGAACTTATCCATTTAATAATCTATAACGGGAGTTGTTTTGCGAATTCTTGTAACAAAATGGCACAATAATAGCAAGGGCCTTGTTGTGTTAAGAGTTTTAATTTCTCGTTATGTCTGTTCTTAATTACCTAAACAATGAAAATCCTTCCTCCTTGGCTCCTTGTGGGTGCGCTGCGCCTGAGCCTCCTCACAACTATCGCTCCACCACCCCTTCTCTTTAGTTATTACCACAATCATGGTTATAACTAAGGTATTAAAGGTCAAATTTGAACATAAATTCTTAGATTAGAAGTTTTCATAGTCGAATTTGACTACTTAAAACTATAATTAATCATCCAAAGTAAACTCTTGATTTTTCTTTTTTAATCATTGTACATGTGGTTTTTCAAGGCTATAAAGTTTTTCTAGGGTGGGTAGGAGTGGATTTTTGGTGGGTTGGGCATGGTTTTAAGGGATTGTAGTATTCTAAAGAGTGCATGATGGGTTGGAGTGTTTTAAATGGTGGGTATGGTTTTAAATGAGGGTTGTTTTGTGTAGTGTTAGCATTTACAGGTGACACTAGTGAAAGTGTGAAGGAGGTGATGGTTTAATGTTATGATGGTGCATTAGTGGCATAAAGGAAGGGAATGGAAATACCATGGGGGTAGGGAATTAAAATAAAGTTGTTTGAGGAAAATGAGAGGGTAAAGGTTACGATAAATACGGCATCATAAGTAACAATTTCAATTTTTGTCCATACCAAACGCCCCATAAGTCAAAGTTAATCCGTGTGTATTGAAGTTCACTATAATTCTAGATACTTTTGTGTTTACTTCTAAGGACTTTACTATCGCAATATAAAGTGTGCTTTCAAATGCTTAGAGCTGAAACACATTAATATACTAAATAGAGTATGCTATTCAAGAATAGATCATAACAAAGCTTGACATAAACAAGCAGAAAGATTAAGGGAGTTGATACTATTTGAGTTAGAGAACTAATTCAGACAAAAATTACTACCAATCTTGAGTTGCTTGTAGAAGACCATGTTAGCCATAACATTTGGAGAAAAGTATACTATTTCAATTGAAGCATCTTACTAGTTCTTAATAATAAAGAGAATGACAAAAGCCTTAATGGAAGAATACTCACCATTGAACAACTTAACTTAAAATTCACCATTCAACAAATCAACTTTAAATTCAATTTATGATAGGTAACATCAATCTTTAAAATGCCTGTTTTCCTAATATAAAAAAAAATAAAAAAAAAATAAAGGAACAAGACACAGAAATTGGGGGCGATAAGAAGCCATTCAGCCCAATCATATGAGATTCATTGTCTTTCATTGCTTTGTTTCCATAAGCAGTGCTCTGGGGTAACAAACAACAAGTCTTTTAAACAATGAAAATCATGCCCACTGTCACAAAGAATAAGGACTATTCACACAAACAAGAGTCACGTTTTTCCTTTTATCAAGAAACTGCCATCCCATCATAGTTTCTATCTATAAAATTAAAAAATAATAATAAAAAATAAAAATTGCTACCAAGATTGATGTTGTCTTAGAGAAAAGACTGAGACCAATAAAAAAAAAAAAAGACAACAACAACCCATCTAAGACTTCTAGAGATACTAGATAAAAGCACTAGGCCTGACAGAGATTCTGCTATGGACCAATCACTCCACTTGAAGAAAAGCATTATTTTGTATTTTTTTAAGTCAACCTATTGACCCAATAACAGATCTGAGACCTTCTGTTGGCATCTTCTTCTCCTTCAGTCATGTTTGGAGTATAAGAATTAGAGTAACAAGGAGTCAAGGATCATCCTTTTAAACTCCACTCTGGAGTAATTTACTATCCATTACTAGCACAAACATCCTAATAGATTTTCAAGCTTCTAATAATGAAGAATCTTGCTTTTTGAACTTCAACTATCCTCCAGCAATGATATTATGCACAACCCAACTAGCGCACTACATCCACATCTCATACCTTGTTGACAGATGAATCTCCTAATAGGGTTATGACCATTATAATCAAAGAATCAAACTGATACGTTTAATTGTCTCGGTCTTCTACTCTTCTTCACTATCGGGAAACTGATAATTACATATTAGGCTACCAAACAAACAAGTACAGAACCAAGAGATCTTATCAATTCTATACAGTCCAAAGCTGAAATTTTATCAATGATAATTATTTCCACTTTGTGAATGTAATTTAATCCAATAACACCGAACTTCAAAATTAACCATCTCGATCACAAAGCAATTACTACAAATAACCCCATCACAACAACCTAACAAAACACTCTTCAATAGCTTTACAAAAATATCTTAAAAAATAGAACGACAATTAAATGGTTTACATTACAGGCCTTGTAAAACACCCATTTGCTAAATCACACCCATAAAACAAATTAAAGAGGCAATAAAAGTGAAATGATCCATCAAAATAACAGCGAGAAAAAAGGAGCATAATACGTTCAGCTTACTTGTTGACATATGCTTCCACCTTTGCTTTTCTTTCATCTGCAGGGATCCTTTTCCCAGTTCTGCGCTTATTGGGTATTTCTTGAGCCGAAGTCGCAGTCGCAGTCGCAGCCGTACCCAAATACCTCCGTTGCGACCAAGCAACATCTGCAACATGCCATTCAAAATTCTCCACAGTTATTGCACACAAAACACAAACTAATAAGAATTCACACTTCCATTGCGCGGAATTATGAAAAATTACCTGAGCGGAGAAGAGTGTGGAGACGGTTTCTTAGAGGAGAGAGAAGTTTGAAGTTCATGATTATAGAACAAGAAGACGAGATATGATGTCCGAAGTTAGGGACACAACGGCGGGAGAGCCATGGAAAATCGGAGAGATGGAGACTGAGAGTCGATATATTGGGGTTTTCAAAGATGTTTGCTCTCGGTGGAAAACGGGAAAAGTAGAGCCTATTATCATTCACCGAAGTCAGCTAAACTGAACTGAACTAAACTAAGATGAACTGAAATGAATATTTTATAAGAGAAGAAAATTAGGAACGGAACTGAATTTCAACGGATGAGAATAGGCCCGTAGTCCCAAGCCTTTAGTTTTACTTATCTCTACCCTTTTAAAAACCAGAAATTGTATTTCTATTTGAAATCTACAATGTAATACCCCTTTTACCCTTTTTCTCCTTTTTTTTCGATTTTCTTTTTTATAGAAAAAATGAAAAAAAGAAAGATGAGAAGCTTTTTTTTTTTTTTGTGAGCATGAGGGGCAAGCCCCAAAAGAAGAGAACAAACAAAACAAACTACAAAAAGATCTCCACCCAAAAACCAGAAGTTGTGTTACTATTTGAAATCTACAGTGTAGTACCGCTTTTACCCTTTTTTTCCTTTTTTTTCGATTTTCATTTTTTTAGAAAAAAAATGAAAAAAAGAAAGATGAGAAGCTGTTTTTTTTTTTGTGAGCATGAGGGGCAAACCCCAAAAGAAGAGAACAAACAAAACAAACTACAAAAAGAAAAGGAAAATAGAACAAAAAAGAAAAAACCGACAGCTAACAAAAAAACAACTAAGGCCAAGTAACCAAACTAAGTACCCATCTGTAGACACCTAAAAATGTCTCCTCAAAACCAAACTCTATGATAAACAACCTTTCACCGCTATTATTGGTCGGGTTGAGTATTTAATCTTTGGAGTGCTTAAATCCATATTTCCATTCAATACATTTCATAAATCTACAAATTTTTGCCTACACCCCCTTGTAGGTACAGCTGCCTATACCCTCTTCCCACCATATCTCCCTACACTTTATCTCACTACAACATTTCCTCAACAATCAAATTTATGTCATTTTAAACTGCTTATAATTTTTTTTCCTTTTTCATTTTACTTTTCTTTCTCTGTTACATATGATTTTAAAGCCTGAATTTCTTTCTCTTTCAATTAATTTTTCCATTTTCTCTCTCCTAACATTTTTTCCTCCTAATTTCTCTGATTTTATCGTCATTATCAATCAACTTTTTTTTTTCTCATTTCGATTCTTTGATTGTATTGCTTACATAGATAATACTTTGATTTCCGATTTTGATTATGATTATGAAGTTGTGTTTCCATCTAGAATTGGAATTGTAGTTTCAATTGTTCATCAATGTGAGTTATTATGTTCTTATCTTTGATTTTTTATGATTTTTTTTCTTCAGTTTTTAATATTTGCTTCATGACTTTGATCCTAATCGCAGTAATTATAATTTACAAGAAAAATGCAAATTTGTTGTTATGTTATGTTATGGTGGCAGCGATGAAGGCGAGATAACATAGGTTTTTGTGGCAGGGGTGGTGGTCAATATTTTGTGGTAGCGGTGGTGGTCGATATTTTGTGGTAGTGGTGATGGTTCTTTTGGTTGGAGTTCTTTTGGTTGGAGTTGAGGTTGGGTTAAAGGAGACAAACAAATGATTGAGAAGGAGAAAGAAAATGGTAAAGAATGAAGTTTAAACCACCATTGATAAAGCTTGCTTCTGATTTTAATGAGAATTGTTTTGGGGTTTTCTAATGTCCTGCGGGAGAGTTACAATTTCGAGACTGGATCCGTGCGCCTGTACCTGCAAAACAAACGGAGACTCCTTGTGGTAGGAGCTCCGCCTCCGACGATCAAGTTAGTACTTGCTTGAGGAGTGATAATTGCGGAAAGTAAAGGTGGGAGATCTGGTTCCTCTAGGGGAGGAGTGATCAATGTGTTTTGGTTTTCTCTAGGTGAGAGTCATTCTGCTGAATCCCCTTAAATGAGGATTAATTAAGTATTTATAGTCTTGAGAAGCGTGCCAATTTTAGGTTTAGGTTAACCAGGGCAAATTGGGCTTCTCTCGGACTTTGGGCCTTGGTGGCCATTTTGCCTATTTGGCATATGGGAGGCCACGTGGCGTGGCCTGATTAGTCCATGTTGGACCTCTTAGGGTGACAAATGGCGGACGCTGATTGGCCCACGTGGTGGACACGTGACAGGTCCGGATTGGTCCATTTGTCATGGGTAATTTTTACCCTAAACATTTGCCCCTCGGAAGGAGTAATTTTTCTTTCCAGGAGGGATTGCTCCTTTCGAAAGTTAGACCCTCGAAGCTTTGCTAGGTCGGCATCTTGTCTAGTTCTAATGGGAGATGGACTTGATTAACTTAGAAATTTTTGATACCTTGGGCGGTATGACATTTTCAAAGTTAATCAATCATAATAATGATTGCCGCCGAACTAGACAGATGCCGATTCTTTGCCCCACTATGCAGATAGCCCCTGATCAGGTGGACTGTCAACTATTGCATAAGGGGTAAGCGTTTAGCATTATTCGGCCATTGGCCTCTTTTGATTCAATATACTAAGTTTGGTGCTTAGTTTATTTCGTTGGGGGATGGTTGGTCGTCTGCTTTGGTGGCTGCATAGAAGCAGGCGTCATACAGGACGTCCAACCAAAGTAGCTACGCCTGTTGGGTTACAGACGACAGCTTTAAGTATAGCCAACCTAGTAAGAATAGTGGTCGAGTACCTCTGTTAACCAAAAAACAGGCGGACTCCTCATACCTTTTAGGTTCCGTACTAAGGAGGGCGACTGGTTAACCTTGCGGTTAGTCAATCACTGCCTATTTTGTTTGAGTGGTAGGGAAACCAGGCGGCGGGGGCCGGATAGTCCCCTATATTCGCCAAGTTTTTCTTGGCTATTAACTCAAAGGTTGTTAACCTAGCAGGAGTAGTGGTTGAGAGCCCCTGTTTGCTAAAAACAGGCGGGCGACTCATACCTTTTAGGCTCCATACTAAATTTGAGAGAGTGACTATGAGTTAACTTTGGTGTTACTCGGTCGCCGTCACTCCTGCTTGAGTAGTAAAGGTACCAGGCGGCGGAGGCCGGCTGAACCTTTTGATTCGCCAATGTTTGTTGGCTATTAACTCAAGAGGTACCCCCTGAATTTATCCCAAGTAATACGGGGGGTCATCCGACTCAGATTTCAACTGCTACCACTGGTTTGGTTAGTGATAGAGTTATCCTTGTCTCAAAAACGGCTACGTGGTTGCCCTTGGGGACAGTCGTATAGGTGCCGTGTAATTAGTTTATAGAGCAATGTTCCACCCAAAATGGAGCTGCTCTTTGCGACGAATTTCATCCGGAGGGATGCCGTCGAACGCCTGCTATGATGTTGGGACAGGTCGTATTAGTTTAAAGATTGGATCAGTTGGCTTGGCGCCTGGGCTGATCATCGGGCCTGTGGCCTTGGTTAGTTCTTGGCGAACGTAGGTGCTAAGTAAGAAGAGGGCAGCCGCTTGTTTAGGCACATGGTCGGCCTGGCCCTAATCTTTTTTAGCTAAGTATAAGGGGGTGGTTGTCTGTTTTGGAAACAACCGTCCCTCTTCTATGGAGAGTGGCCGACTGTATGTCTAGACGGCATGCCCCTCTGGTGGAGTAAACTAACCAATGGAGAGTAGCCGACCATAAAGGTACAGGCGGCATGCCCCTCTGAAGATAAGAGTAAAATACTCAATGGAGAGTAGCCGACTGTAAAGGTACAAGTGGCATGCCCCTCTGAATCAGTATCAAGTATTGAAATCATTTCAAGTGTTAGAGCAGATGGATCACCTAGTTCCCTTCCATAGAGGATGGATGGTGTTATTAATGAGAGTCGGCTGCTTTCATAGCTACGAGACTCCATTATATAGGGGGCCGGCTACTATTCATGCCGCCTCTCTTACTGTCACACAAATAAGTGGAGGTAATCCATGAAGGGAGACGGTCTTCAATTGGTTACTGACTATGCTGCCGGGTTTAATAACCTTAGGCAATTTTTTTTTTTTTTTTTTTTTTTTTTTTTTTGTAATCATAATAATGATAGTGGTAGCTTAGAGAAAGTCTATGAAACCACGATGCATGGTCATGATGATTTGTTGATGATCCCGGCCTTTCTTGCAAAATGCGGCTACTAGAATAGTTTTGCCATGATGTGCTTACTTTCCTCATAGACGCTTTCCCTTTAGGATGCCGCCTCGCAAGGTAAATTAGTTGCACGAAACTTGCATAATAACGCTATCCCATATGCATACAACCTGGTACTTGGAGCTCGCATAAGGCCGGCTGGTGGCTGCGTTGCTGGGACTAAACCGGCTGCCGCATGGCCAAGTGCTGGGTGGCTGCTGCCGTCTAGTCTTGGGGGGCACGTTCATGTGCCGCCTCGTCTAGCATGGAAACAAATGCTCAGCTTTTCACAATGGCCGGCTGTAATGAGCTACTTTGGTTTAGCAAAAGAATCGATCACATAGGAGGTGATCACTATATAGGCATAAAGCACCGAATCGAAATGGTCTTTAATTAAGAAAGGTGCCGCCTAGTAGTGATCTTCAGCCATAGGAGCTTGTCAGGGTATTGGCACGCACAATGTTTGATCACGACGGTGCCGCTTGTTTTTATTACAATCATCAGGATTTCTTTGTTTTCTTAATGCCAGCTAGGTAGAACTTGCGAGGACCAAAGAAAGTACCATTTACCAATATTCAAGCTCAAGCGTCCACGAGAAGTTGGTTGAATTCACAAAGCATCCGAACACTAAAGTAAGAGCAATAAAGATTCTGATTTAGCAAGAAATTGCCGGCTGTTCTCATGACGATTTGCTTGATAATCTCGGCCATCCATGCTTATTATGGTTTATCTAACAAAATACAAAGGTTGCTCTAATATCCTCATATCCAACCAATAAGGGCTGCCCACTTTAGCTAACCAATGACTTTTAAGTGAGCATGTGCCGTTTAATCAAGGTCGGCTCATCTAATCACAAGGTGCACTTCCGCTGAAGCACACTTTTGTCCATGAGGGTGCCTGGCTTTCGTGATGGAGCCGGCTGTTTTAGTGCGTTGGGATTGGGCAGTATTTTTAGATGCTTGTGCCGGCTGTATCAAAGAGAAGCATTACCTGGGTGCCGACTGTTCAGCAAAAATGCCCATGCTCCGCCTCGCACTTGCTACTCAATT